GGGAAAGAGACTTCCTAGGGATACCATGGAGGAGACTCTTGAGAGTCCCATGGACTGCAAGAAGATCAAACCTATCCATTCTCAAGGAAATCAGCCCTGAGTGCTCACTGGAAGGACAGATCGTGAAGCTGAGACTCCGATACTTTGGCCACCTCATGAGAAGAGAAGACTCCCTGGAAAAGACCCTGATGTTGGGAAAGATGGAGGGCACAAGGAGAAGGGGACGACAGAGGACGAGATGGTTGGACAGTGTTCTCGAAGCTACAAACATGAGTCTGACCAAACTGCGGGAGGCAGTGGAAGACAGGAGTGCCTGGCGTGCTCTGGTCCATGGGGTCACAAAGAGTCGGACACGACTAAACGACTAAACAACAACAACAGGGATACCATTGAAACCAGAGTCTTTTTCAGCAGTGCCTGGAGAAGTCAGAGATTGAGCCTGGGACCTTCCCGTGCAAAGTTGAACCTCTTCCACAGACCTCTACAGTAGCCCTGGGAGAGCAGCAGGCCCCAGTTCAACCCAGCCCTGCATCCTCATGACCCCCACACCTGCCTTCATGTTCTCCCTCTGGGCTTAGGCCCCCATGAAGGGCAGCCCTCAAGGAGCTTGCACTCCTGGGTGCAAAATGGGGCTGCCCTGGGACTTGCTTATCTCCTGGGGTGGCTGCCTGTCCACCCCCAGACCGTCTGTGGGTGGTGAACTTCATGCCAGTATCCTGCACATGACAGCCTCTAAGCCATCTTGTCAGTTGGGGCTGGTGGAGGGGCAGATTTAGGCCCATGGAGGCAGACATGAGTTTGGAGTCCTGGACAGTTTTAATTTCCTGAGGCCATTTTGTCCATGTCATGTATCACTGCAATGAGATATGAAGACCATTTTCAAGGCGGGTTTGCTTTCGTTTTGAACAACAAGCAGCGGCAGTCGCCTTCCTTTACTGAACTATAAATTATCTTACACTTTGTTCAGCACCCTTAGCAGGTATATCGAGATTTTAGCAAGACACAAAGAAATTCTGTCTGGTTAAAGGGTAGGTAATTAATCAGTCAGGAAAAAAGACTCAAGTGAAAAAGGTTGCCTCACTTGTCCTGCACCTGCTCTCCTTACCTGGGCAGGGTGACCTCCACTCACCTCTGGGGAGTCACCCAGGCCATGGCCCTTAACCTCAAGCCTCTAAGCCCCAAAAGCCATGTTGAAGTCAAGAGTGCCTCTGCACACATACAGAGTGCCTTTGCTCAGCTTACAGGAGTAGCGTGGGTGGGGAACGGTGGAACTCCCAGGCATGTCTGAGCCACAGAAGGGGCCAGGCCAACCCATCTCTGGCACAAGCATGGCTTCTGCCAACAGGAAGGCACCCATACTGCTGCAGTTTCCTCTCCCCTGAACCAAAGGAGCATAATCATTTTTAGGCTGCCCCCCCTCCACCCACCCACCCACAGCCTCCTCTTCCCCCCCCCCAATCCCTCCCTGGGGAATTGCTGAGCAGCCGCTGCAGCCTCCTGTCTCCCCACCCCCCAAAAACGGCTCCTCTTTGATGGGAGCCTTGCTGATGCCTCCTCCCCTCCCTTCTGGATGATCAAAAGCAGAGACAGGCTCCTTTGTGAGCGGGTGCCAACTGTTTCTAAAGGCTTGGGGAGAGGGGGGGTCCCACCCAAGGAGCCGGCAAAGCAAGATAGAATCCACTCATTAAAAAGCATATTTGGATGGGGTTTTAATTAATGGAGGAGGAGGATGCAGTGGTAGAACGGAGGGGAAAGGGAGGACAGAGACCACTCCCACTTCCTCCTCTTTTGCGGGATTGGGGAGGCTGGTGCTATTCCACATGTCCCACTTTTCCACAGAGAGGCAAATTTCTTCTTCCCAGCTAGGCCATCCCCTCGTGCCAATGCCACTCAGGGCCCGGGTGAAGCCCTGCAGCCTTCTGAAGTGACAAGGCCACTGCTTTAGGACTGCCTAGTTGAGTACTCTATGTGTGAAATCCAGCAGCCCCCCCCCCCCACACACACACCACAGCTTTTTAGCACTTTTGGTGGCCAAGTCCAAATACTGCCACAGTTGACTATGGGGGTGCCATCTCAGAGAGAAGACCACATGCCGCACTCAGGTCCTGCTTGCAGATTTCCTGCAAGCAACTGGGTGGCCGTTGTGAGAACAGGATACTGGACTGGACAGGCCCCTTTGGTCTGATCCTGATCATGCTGCTACTGCAGGGCTCTTCTTCTGTTCTTATGCTAAGCAGGCAGCCCTCTCAGAGCTCCAAGTGCCAGGGCAGAAAAGCCTTCCTGAAATGGGCAGTTGGGCCCATGAGTCCTTTTGTCCCTGGTAACCCATTTTAATCATTTGGTAGCAAGAAGAGGGATTCTCTCTGCTGCTCTGTAAATGCTTGTTGGTTTATTGAGATTTATGCCCATCTTTCTTTCAAATATCTAATGCAGCTTTCAAGCAAGATAAAATATTATTCATAAGCAGCAGCAGCAACCGCAGCCAAATGATACCAGCAATATCAGGGAGAACTGCTTGGCAACTTGGGTATCTAAAAGTCAACAAAAACCTACAAACAGATGAAGGTTTAAGGCTCCACAAAAACTCGCCAAGGTCCTCGCTGCCTTTCTAAACCTAAACCACAATGGGAGCAGGCAGAAGTCCCTTGGGAGAATCCTCCAAATTTTATGTGCTTCAGCCAACAAGGCTCTGTCTCTGTATCCTGTTCCATAAAACTCCTTGGATGGCTTGTAACATTTCAAAACACAATAAAATGAGATGACTTGGGGAAGGACTACAGCTCAGGGGAAGAGCCCCTGCTTGGCATGCAGAAGGTCCCAGCCTCAGTCCTGGCAGCTTCTTCAGGTAGGACTTGTGCAGGCTCCTGCCTGAAGCCCTAGAGAACTGCTTCCTGGGAGGAAGTAATCACAGGCAGATTCCTCTATATTTTGAAACAGCAAGGTCAAAAGGGGCATTGATACCAGCGCCAGGTGGGCCTCCCTGGGTCGGGAGCACCTCCATCAGCAGGATGCCACCACTAGCGCTGCCGCCTCTGCCACCCAGTGCCTCCAACACTTTTAAAAATCATAGTTCTTGGATGCTGAGCTGAGAGGGAACCCAAAGGTTGCCTTCCTGTCCCAATCAGTTCTGACCACCTCAGGGCTTAACTTTTACATTCCTGTTTGAATCAGCCCTTTATTCAAAGCCACAGAATTTCTTTTTGGGTTGAATGATCACAGCTTAAGGGCTGAGTGTCTGCTTTAAATGCAAACAGCCCCAAGTTCAATCCCTGGCTTCTACCAGGTGGGAAAGGGTCCTGTCTGAAGCCCTGGTGAGGTTCTGGCAGTCAGGGTGGGCAAGACTGAGCTTAGCTCAGTGGTCCACTAGATAAGATCAGAAGCTTCTGTCTGCAGCTGGATCAGACCAAAAGCCCCTCACAAAATGGGAAGTCCCCATTTTGTGAGGGGCACAGCACCTTTCCCCCTTTGTATTGCTACGTGTTGAAAATTGCCCATTTACTCCTCTCCCTGAGCTTGGGCTGCTCAGCTTTCCAGAAAATCACTACAGAGCCCGCAAAATGTTCTAGGTTAGAATAAGGGCCTCTTGAAACCAACCATCTTGTCTCTGTACCCAACCATGGAGGTCTGGAAGCTTGCAAGAGCTCATCTGTGCAGCAGCCCATTTTTGGAAGCTCAAGAGCAGGACATGAAGTCAAACAACTGCTTCTCTGCCCCTTGCAGGTATCCTTCCACCCAAGCATCCCAAAAAAGCAACAGTGCATGGCTTGACTCTCCCAACTATGCCTAAGGAGGAGGCATCTCTGCAAGAGGCTTTTGCGGCTGTCACATAGCATGTGCCCATGTGGAAAGGCTTCAACCCTCTTCCCTGTGCTCTGGGAGTGTTGGCCAGCTCTGTGGTTAACAACTCCCTTGGTTGCCAGAGGTGACTAGGAATTCCACGCAGGCGAGTGCATAGTATAATCTAGTCATCTCTATTTCTGTAATGGGGCTTTCTCTCCTCTGTGGCCAGCATGGAAATCTGGCCTACTAGGAGGAATGCAGGCTAGTAACTTTTGTGGGCTTATTTTAAAAGGGCAGGTTAGACCACCACCTCCCATCCTCCTTCACCATGGTGGCTATTGTTATTTTTAATGTGCACATTAATAGTAGACACACAATTAACATCATGTCTACTTTGTACCTAACACTCCTCTTCTGTGTCGGTGGAATTAGAGATGTTTCTTTAGCCTTCTGGAAGGCCAGTAACCAGAAAAAGGTGTCATGAGGTCAGAAATAGGTGTATGTACAGCCTGGCATGCCTTCATCTCTGCATATTTATCTCTTCTTCCAGTAACAAACTCAGGTGGGTGAGTGCCAATAGGATTGGAGCTAAACTGGGGCCACCCGGAAAAAAGAGAGGCATATCAGCATTCTCGGGGGAGGCCTGAGATTTGCCAAAGTGCAAATAAAATAAATAAAAACTGGGAAAGACCCAATGAGCAACTGAGTAAGGACTGAGCTTGCTTAGTAGCCACAGAATTTATGGCACTTGGTAGGAAATTTAAAAATGGGGAGAAGAGAAGGGAATGGAATGGGCAGGCAGGCACACTAAACAGGACCGCTCCTACTCAGAGACGAGGCTGCACTACAGTGTCTATGCCCACCCTTCAAACAAAAGATTTTACAGGACAGCTTACCCCAGTTGGGTACAAAATGCACAGTTCATAATGAGACATTAAAAGCGCATAAAACCAATTTTATTTCAAGATTAGAAGTGCTATTAAAAGAGGAAGCAACTGAAAAGGCCTCTGAAAGGGCTGAAAAGATAGCTGTGTTGGCCCCAGGCCAGCCTTCACAGGCAGAAGGTCCTGTGTGAGGGGTGGCATCAGCAAGGAAGCCATGTGCCATACTGGGCACAGCCCACCTCACCACTCTCAACCCAGAACAGATCCTCCATAAGATGCCCTCTGCGGACCATCATAGCCAGCCATCGGCCTTCATTTTCTCTGTTGAAAGTGTCAGCTTGGATAGCTCAGTTGGTAGAGCATGTTGCTGATAACACCAAGGTTGCAAGTTTGATCCCTGTATGGGACAGCTGCATATTCCTGCATTGCAGGGGGTTGGACTAGATGATTCTTAGGATCTTCCCTTCCAACTCTACACTGGTATAATTTTATTATTCATCTCCATCTAGAATCACACCAAGAAATTGGGCTATACTGTTGACAGGGAGCAGCTCAGGTGCCTCTGGCTCACACTGGAGCAGGGCAAAGGGAAGGAGCTGTGGGGCCAGAGATGCCTTTCATCTGGCCCCTCCCTCCCAGTGGGGCTCCCGTGTATTTTCCTTGGCTTTATTTTGCATACCTGCCATTCATTTGTTCATTCCAGTTCTGCTCCCCTTCACCTGCGGCCTGTGCCAGCCTGGATTGTTAGGGGTGCAGAAAGGTGGGGGTGCTTGATTTGGTAGCATAGATCCTACAGTAGGCGGCACGATGGGATGAGCCCTCCATGCTTTGAACCAGGTGCCCTTGGGGGTCTCGGGTGCCTCCTGCATGGAGAAACCTCCAGTGAGTGAGCACAGAGAACTGCGTGGAGCCCCTTTTTCTCTCTCTTTCTCCCCAGCCTATGTTGGCCTGATCAGCCTGTAGTGCAACAGCATCCTTTTGGTAGGCTGGGAACATCCCTCCATCCTCAGCCACAGCAGCTCTGCTGTCTCCTGGTGGAATTAGCATTTAGATAGCCAGGTTTATCTCCCAGGAGCACATCCCTGCCCTTCCCGACATGCTTCTTCATCGCCAGCAGCTATTAACGCAGCCACCCAGCTTAGCCTGCCTTTCTTCCTCGCTCAGCCTCTGCCCCCTCTCACTCTCTGGGGTCCTTGGCAACTCTCCCCTTCCTACAGATTGCCACTGCCCCCCACCTGCCTGGCATCCCCAGCTCACCTCCTCAGTTTCCCATTTCTCTTGCGCAGGGGGGCACCACCGTAGGCCAGGAGGCGGAAGAGGATAGAATTAATAGCTCGCTTGCTTGCCAAAAGAGCTTCCAAGGGGTGCCAGTGTCCCTGCTCTCCCCTTCCAAACCCAAACAGGTCCCTCCTTACCAAAGCAGGGTGGGGTATTTCATTTTTGTATTGAAAAGCTGCCTTAAATTAGTGCAGTCTCATGCACATTTACTCACATGTAAGCCCCACTGAGTTTGGTGGGGCTCAATCTCAGCTAAGTATGCAAAGGATGGCTACGTAATTGGAATTCCATATGAGTAATTTGAGGTTGGGGGGGGTGGAGAGAAAAATATTGCATTGAAAAATCATGATAGCACACCCACAAGAAAAAAAAAAGGGGTTCCTGAAACCAATCTGCTGTTCAACGCTTTCATGTTGACCTCTGGCCTGCCATACCTTGGTCTTCTTCCAGCAACCATGTGAAGAAACTCCTTAATAGACCCATTTTGCAGATGAGGAATTAAAAGTCAGTCGTGACCAAACCTGGGATTCAGAGTCACAAGCGCCTTCTCCCAAAAACACATAAAATCCCCTGGGATATTCTCACAACCTTCTCACAGCATATTCTCACAACCGTTTCGGCACTTTGTACCTACCCAAAATGTGAACGTTTTTGGTCATCCTGCTTTGTTCGCAATGGATGCACATCTTGAACTGTCCTGCTGAAATCCTGCAACTAGTCATACCACAAAATGCTCTGGGTTTTGCTGCTGCTGTTCAGCTTTAGCACCAGGGTTCCCCCTCCAGACAGCAATAAAGCGAAAGCACTGGGGAAACATCACAGAACAACTAATAAAGCAGAACAATATGTGGATGGTCCTGTATGAACCCACTGCTAATGCACTATTATTGTGTCGATGTTGCAGAACACACACAAACGCATCCCATCCTGGAGGGGCCCTGGAAACGAAGCAGTGAGCCTACTCCAAAACTTTCTCAGACATGAGCAGTATTGAAAGCAGAATTGCATATAACCACCCCAATGCCAGTATAAGGCAGTGTTCCTGTGCGCAGATGGAAAGGGGTGGGGGAACCAAATCTCTACCTGCTATACACTTAGTCATGTCTGCCTGAGTTGCTCCTCTCTCTCTCTCTCTCTCTCTCTCTCTCTCTCACACACACACACACACACACACACACAAAGTTGACACTGCATGTATCTCCTACAATTCCATTCAGGGGTGTGGGGGTGTTTCTTGTGTTTTTTACCTGCATCTTTGAAGAAGCTCCTTCTGCACACCCTCCATCCATGCTGCCAACCTTTCCCTGCCTAGGGCACTCGGTAGTTGTGCAGGGGCAATGCTCCCCAACCCTGGACTCTTCTCTTTCCCCCAGCTCACCTGAGAAACCGTCTCCCCGTGCATCAGGGTCCTGGGTGTTCAGATAGGGTGGAACATGAGACTTCTTTTTGTCACCCTTTCTCCCTCCTCCCCAGCTGACATATTTTGCACATGATGAGAGGTGCCTTTGTCTTCCAAGCATTCCAGACAGGTGGTGCCCTCATTCAAGGCAGACCTGGGAGAGGGGGGTTGGGGATCAGTTCTGAAAGGGGAGCAGGGTGAAAACAGTGATCGGGAGGGGACAGGCAGACAGGATTCCTGGGTCTTGTTTCCCTGGGGCTTTGAAGGACGCCTGTTCAGAGATTTGTCTCCCCTCTTACCCAATCCCAGTGGCAGAAAACTCCCTTCTGCTTGATACCACAAGCCATTTTGATTTATGACTAAATAGGTACCCTCTCTGCACTCCCAATTTGGAAAGGGCCGAGGAGCTAGAGTTTCAGGCTCCCTGGTGAATTCAAAATGGACCATTGGTTCTGAGTACTGCTGGTGGGGAGGGGGGGAAACTGGGACACCCCAAGAAAGGGGCAAAGGGGCGACTGTTTTGGGATGGGGATGTGGGTGGGGAAGGGAAGATTTGAAATGATGCAGTCATGGAAAGAAAAGAACAGAAATGAATCTAGCGAGAAAGAGACATTAAAAAAAAAAGCAAGATGCAGAGAAAGATGTTTAAAGAAAAGAAAAGAAAAAAAGTTGTTTTTTCTCCAAAAAACATTCTTACCTAGTTTTCTTTTTTGTAATTTTTTTTCTTCATGCTAATATCACACGGCCTATTTGTTGATGTAAGTTGACTGAATTCCGTGGTTTGCTCTCTTATTTTTAAAAACAAACAGAAAGGGAAAAGAGGAAGAGGCAAGAAAAGGCAATATTAGTGTTTTAGCAGGAGAGGATGGGAAGCCAGCCAGACAGCCGAGGGTTTTATTGCTCTTAATTCTGCTGTTTTATCTGTTTAATTTTTTGCGCATTAAATGACTTTTTTAATTCTTTTTTTTTCCTTCTTCCTTTGATTATGATTTCTCTAGACTAATGTGTTGCAAAGGAGAGAGAGAGGAGGAAAGAAAGAGGACAGTTTAGTGGCCAGGGATGGAGACGGAGGGGTTTGGCTAGCTATAACTCTCGTGGCTTGAGTTGTCTTGTGTCAAGGGGGCAGGGTGCCTGCGAGGTCACTAACCCGCTCTCCCCTCTTCTGTCTCTCCCCCTTTTCTCTCTGTTCTAGGAGGTGAATTAGTATTGCCCATAATAACAGAAGACTCCCTAGACACCCCTCCAATTGCCACCCGGTCTCCATTCATCCCCCCGCCTCCCACCTTTGGCCCCTTCCTAACCGTAGTCGAGACCACCAAAGACACCCTTTCCCCGCCATCCCATCCAAGGCCCCCCTGTCTGGCCGACCAAGACGACAGCGACTGTGAAGAAGGGATCGAGGCCTCCGGCTATGCCTCGGGCGAGGTTTTCGACTCCAGCCTGCCCCCTACTGACGACGAAGATTTTTATACCACCTTCCCCCTGGTCACGGATAGGACCCTAATAGGCCGGCCGGAAGGAGCTTCCAAAAAGGCCCAAGGATACCGCCCCAACCTTAGGACAGGACTGCCGGCTTCGCCCTCCGTCCCCGACCTCCTGACCTCCACAACCTCTCCCAATCTGGTCCGTAACATTCCCGCCGGCAAAATGAACAACCGGGAGCCCCTCAACCCCCAGCCAAAACAGTACCCCCCACTCTCCACCTCCTTTGAGCCCGACAAGCTAAACAGGCTTAAGTACCCAGGTATAACCTCTTCCCCCAATTTCCACAATCTGCCCACAGCTAACCCCACCGGCCCCGGGGAGAGGGGGCCCCCCGGTGCCGTGGAGGTCATCCGGGAGTCCAGCAGCACCACCGGCATGGTGGTCGGGATCGTGGCGGCCGCGGCCCTCTGCATCCTCATCCTCCTCTACGCCATGTACAAATACCGCAACCGGGACGAAGGCTCCTACCAGGTGGACCAAAGCCGGAACTACATCAGTAACTCGGCCCAGAGCAACGGCACGGTGGTCAAGGAGAAGCCAGCCGCTGCTGCCAAAACGCCCAGCAAGAGCAAGAAGAACAAAGACAAGGAATATTATGTCTGAGCCCCCCCTCCCAGCCCCCCCAGCCCCTGCGTGCGCCAGAGAGACCGACACCCAGCCAGCGCACGCAGTGGAGCCACCCAGACCTACACGCACCCAAACTTTCTGGAGAGGAGACCACCCAAGCGCATCCTTCCCCTTCTTCCGCATCCGAGAGGCCAGCTGATGGCGCCCTCCAGTGGCCACCTCCACCCGCTCCTCTTGAGTTTGCTCATCCCTCGTTTACTTTAAGCCCTTCCCTCCTCGCAAAAAAAACCCGAAAACACACAAAGGAACCACAGCAAGAAGGTTGCAGGGTCTCCCTCCCTCCCCACCTCCTTTTCCACCCTGGCCATCCAACCCTGCAGGGTTGCTGTTTTTTCCCCTTAGGCAAACGGAGGGGGAAGGGAAGCCACAGTGGCTGAGGTGAAGGGAGGCAGCGTTGGCCTGAAGAGAGGGACGCTGGGAAGGAGGAGAATTAAAAGGGGGGGGGGATTTCAAGCTTCCCAGGTGAGGTTGGAGCCAGAATGCTGCTTTGTGATCTGTCTGCAAGAGAGTCTTTGCCCCTCTCTTTGTTGAGGGGCTTTTGGTGTGGAAAACAAAAAACTGGGGCCCACCCGTCTTTCCTCACCCCACCCCACCCCAGCACCACGCTCTGAAACAGAGATGCCTAGCTGGAGCTCACAACTCTACAGAACCCTATAACTGAACTGGGGGGCAGAGAGGACCCACAGCGGCCAAAAACAACCCCTACTCCACCTCCTCCTCTCTCTTGGAATTATCTCAAGCAAAGGGGTCTGTCCTTTCTATCATTTCTCTCTCTCTCTCTTTCTCTCTCTCTTCGTTAATGTGTCAGAGTCTTGGAAATGTGTGGAATAAAACAAAAAGATTTTTAAAAAGAAAAACTACTAATTATAAGAAAAGAAGCAGGTGACGTGGATTTTGCTTGCGCTGTTGGACTGAGGACTCCCTCCTTCCCCAACAGCCAACACCTAGCCTGTCTTGTAATAAAAAGAGGGAGTAAAATTGAGGTGGTGTTTGACACCCATAAATCAATGCAGTGGAGCGCAGCTTTGGGGTGCAGCTGCATTGTGTGTGTGTGTTCGCGTGTGGAGGGGGGTGGATCAAGTATCTCCCGGGGGTTTTGTTTTGCAGGGGTCCAAATGAACCAACCTTCAATACCTTCCATACCTCCCTCTCCCCTTTTCACTCTCCCTTGGATCAAGGTGCTACTATATTGTGGTCTTTCTTTAAACTGTGTTACAAGCATGTGAAACTTGGGCTGACTTTTAGTTTTATGTCGTTTGTCGGGGCCGGGTGTCGAGAAAAAAAGTGTGTGTGGAGCCAGATGCAGCAGCAACAGCAGCAAGCACATCCCTTTGCATCAAAGCCGCAAGCAGACCCTGGCAGTTTCTCCAGAGGGCGCAATGGCCCGTGGGAGGAGGGCGAGGACGTGTCCGTGTGTGGTGCAAGTGGTGAGCGCGTGCAGAGCGCGTGGGCGCAGCTGGGGCTCCAGTGTCTCTTCCCTACCCCGCCCTTCGGCTGCCTTCCCGGTTCTTCCAAAAAAAAAAAAAAAAAGGAGGGAGACAAGTCAAGAGGAAGCCATAGATAACTCTGTGCAGAGTTCGATCTATCTGTCTATCTATAAATACACAAAGATATATATATAAAGATATATATAGAGATATATAAGATATAAAAAGTATACATAATATATGAAGAGTTTAAAGGCGGCCGTTTGAAGGAAGGGTCAGGGAAAGACTCTTGGCTCCAGGAGTCAGATGGAAGGGTCTGCGATGGCAGCAAATGGCCAGTTCCTACATTTGCCCAAGGTCAGGGCTGGGGAGCTCCACCGTTCAGATCCTAGGGGCGTTGTAGGGGTGGACCTTTCCTCCCCAGGTGAGTTTTGAGGGTATAGATGAGGGGTGATGGCATATTCCAAGACGGCAAGAATAGCCCCTTGGTCTTTCCTCTGGGTGTGTTGGGTGTGAGTGGCCCTTTGAGAGGGAGAGTTTGGGGCGTTTGAGGGGCAGAGAGGCAAGCCAGGTCAGCTCCAGGAGGATGACCCAGAGCAAGGTCCATTAGGGTAAGTGGGGCAGCTGCCCCACCTGCCTTCATTACAGCAACCAGTCTGTGTGGGGTGGTCCTGGCTGTCGGCTGCTTCCTCTTAAGTCTCAGTGTTGCCGTTGCAGGGACTTAGCAGGGAAGAGGGAGAGGAGGGCAAAACTAGACTTAAGTTGACTCTGCGCCTCCTTGTCTGTGGCCCAACTCATAGACTGGGCTCTCTGCTGCGGCCCAGGGCATGGAAACAGACAAGTGGCCTTGTTGCTGCCCCAGCTGCAAGAAGCATTGCCTCTTTCAAATACATCCTCTTCTCCCAAGCCTTTCTTTCAGCACCAAAAAGGGCAGTCCCTCCCCCAGCCCAAAACATTAAAAGTTTGTAACAAGTTTTGCATGAATCTTCAGTGATTTACCTTTGCAGGAAGAGCCAGGACTTACTGTGACGTTTGCCTCCCTGCTGCCTTGCATAGCAACTGAGACTCTTTGTCCCTGATAAAGGAGCTCCAAACTCAAACTGCTTCCAAAATTGAATCCGGAATAATGCAAGTCAGAGAAGGGTCTGTGGAAGGGATCAGTTTTGTCCATCTGTTATCTCACAGGGCTCAGGTTAAAATGGACCCAGAACTGGACCCAGGGCCCCCAATGCAGCCAGATCACCTTGCTCCTCACCCCTCTTCCTGGCCTGCCACTCCTGCCGCCACAGCCGGCCCCCTGAAATTTGGGATGGGGAGAAATTCTACAGAGTGTGCATTTAAAGGTGAGCCCTTCCTCATTTTGCACTTTTCTGAAACAATCTGAACCAATAGACGGCAGCCCTCCTTCAAAATTCTCACTTCTCCAAACTTTGCAATTGAGTTCTCTAGCTAGGCGGTGTGTGGGAAAAATGGATATATTGGTGGAAACAGCACACCAAAACACATAAGGGGGGAATTGCTTCTCAAAATGTTTACTAGTAAAAATTGCAGATGAAAAGGTAGGGAAAATCCACAGTGAAATGGTGGGTTTTTGTGAGGACTTAGGGGGAAATCGCAAACTGGTGTTGAAATGTGGAGGACTGGATTTAATAATGGAAAAATGAGAAAGTGAGAAGCACTAAAATGGATTGGTTTGCCCCCTCCCTTCGTACAATTGTTTTGTCACCATCCGGGCTTAGGTGACAGCCCAGCTCAGTGAAAAGTATTTGAGGGTGAGGCTTTAACAGCCTTTAAACAACTGTTAGGCATGACTTTGCAGAACTTAATTGGGGCCTGGGATGGATGGATGGGAGGATTTTCCCCCAATGCAGATCTTTGCCATTTTGCAATGCAGTTTTGCACCACTGCAACAGCAGGAGGTGGGGGGGGGGCTTGGAGGCAGCTCTCCCTGCTGCATGACCCATTGAGGGGCAAGGAGACCTGCCCTGTATGGTACCCAGGAGGCTTTGTTACAGCTGCAATACTATACTCACTTAACTGGGAGTAAGTCCATTGAACTCAGTGGAACTTAATTCTGAGTAGGCATGCGCAGGCTTGTACTGTAAGCAACTGGGAATAGTTGTGCTTTAACCTCTGGTGTGTATAAAAAGAGATGCTGAGATTCAAAAGGAGAACCTGCATTCATCTCAAACAGTTTGGCAGCATTTTAGATCCGGATTAATCTTAACGTTTTAAAATATTTTGAAATTTCACTTTTCCAAGTCAGCTCGGTAGGATGCTCTTCAAACTCTTCCATCTTGCCGCTGGATTTTAATGCAAGTGGGTTAAAATGTTTGCTCTTCCCAGTGATGCTTTAAAAACCCTAAATGCCATGTCACCTGTGGTTGGAGCTGAGGAAATAAATGCAGAGGCTGTTAATTAAAAACGTTGCAAGCAAATTCAACTCTGGGGATTTCCCACCCCCACCCCACCCCTTCCACATTCATTTGAGGCCTAGTTATGACAAAACTTGCTTTCAATGAGTTTACAGGCATCATTAAATGTGGGCCCCTTAACCTGCAAAGGAAAGGCACCACAAGAGCTGCTGCTTTATGAGTATTGGGCTGGGCTAGTTAATGCAGGAAAGGATACCTCAGCCTCTTACAACTGGCACCAAGTGAAGGCCTTTCCCTTTGGGACAATCAGCAATGCCAGGCACCCAGCGCCACCCAGGTCAGGGCACTGGGGAGACAGGAGACAGAGTGGAGCAACTGCCTCAGGCAGCTGATGCTGGCAGGGGGCAACACCCCACCCCGTCAGAGGTCAGAACTCTGTGTGCCTCACACAACTAGTTTGGCACCCCTAAAACTACTCTGGTGTCATGGAGGGCATTGCCCCATTGCCAGTATTGGAAGAAAATTCAGCTGCCGGTCCAGTTGACCTCTGTAGGTGACATGGGGAGGGGGCAACTTGGTCTGGCCCTGGGCTAGTGAGCTTCCACAGGCTGGAGCAACAGCCCTTCACCTCTCAGCTCCTGCCCTTGCTGGGGGGGGGGGACGACGACTTCCTGAGGTAGCAGATCCTCTCCTTGGGGTGTGTGTGGGGGTGTGTGGATGTTCGTGCGAGAGTGGGTGTCCAGTGCCTGGCGGTCTCTTGGTGCTATAAAAATTGTTCAGTGATCCTGTCCTTGAATGTAGCTTATTAGCCAAATTGAACCCAGTCTTGCAGTGGACGGAACTTTCTCACTTCCCCATACAGAGTTTTCTGCTGGGCTACGTCAAGGGGGCAGCAGAAACCTTGTTCTGTGCCAGAGGGTGGAGGTGCCTGTGAACCATGAGGCCTGGCCTGCACCAGCTAAGGTAGCCTGATGCCCTCTGGTGCCATGGAAGAGAGTGTGACCCCATTGCCAACGCTGGGAGTCAGATCTGGTCAGGTTCTGAATGTGGGGTGGCAGGGGACATCCTCAGGCAGGCAAGTGTGTTAGGGCAAGAGCCCTGAGGTCTCCCCTTTGCAGATGGTATGAAGAGTGTTTAAGGAAAGTGAGGGATAATTTGGGGAGAGGCTATTGGCTGTATAATTGTAGAGTTGGAAGGGTTCCCAAGGGTCGTCTAGTCCAACCCCCCTGCAATGCAAGAATTGCAGCTAAAGGATCCCTGACAGATGGCCATTCAACATTCAGTTGGTGAGTCACAACCCCCACCTGTTGGGCCAGGGACCACTAACACCATACATGTGTCCGGCTTAAAAGATGCGGGTTCTAGAGGCGCCTTTCCGGCAATGAAGCTGAGAGGGTGAGGAAGAGAGAGTGGTGGGAGAGGCTTGGAGAGGGAGACGGTAGCACTGGGGGGGTTCCCTTAAAAAATGGAGGACTTTGCAAAGCTTCCAGAGGTGGCTCAGGGCTTCTTGACTGGATGTTTCCATGAATACAGAGAGTGTGCCACATGCAAAGCAACTTCTAATTTTGTCAAATAACCCAGGATGGAAATTTTTGAACTATACAGAACTCTTCCTCGTGTGAGGGTAGGGAACACAGCTTCCTGGGACAAAACCTGGAGTTCTCCCCTCTTTATAGTTTATGGGCTGTGTCCAACTAAGGTCCAAGAGTCAACCAGCTTAAATTCATGGACCTCTGTTAGTCATGTCCATTAATTTCAATTGATCTGCTCTTGAATATGAAAAATGTATAACCAGTGGCAGATTTATAGGTATGCACAGAATTAGGGCCCCATCAGTCGATGTTGTTAACTGAGGGGAAGCCTTTGAAATGTGATGTCAGTGACTCTAGTATTTTAGTTTGTTGTGCTGTTTCTACTCCCTATTAATGTCAGTGTTGGCTGGTCCATTAGGACAACCGGGTCTTAGCCTGACCACACAAAATATCAAGCATTTTTCAGAAAAATATTTCACCCAAATATCATCATTTGTGCTCCGGCCAAACAGTTCTCTGCACCACTCAGACAATCTCAGTCCAAAAGCAGCACTGTGGCAAAGAAGTCCTACCCATCTGTCTCTAGGCAGAAAAACAAATTGATATTAAATGTGTGTCAGTGGCGCTACTGGCTCTGAGACCTGCTTGTGTAGTTCCCCCTTCATCCCTCTTGTCCTGATAGCAGTCCAGCCTGGTTGTCCCAGAGCTCAGAGCTCTTTCTGCTCAGAGCATGCTCAGAACTGTTTCCTTAAAGGCTACACTACAGTAACAAAGCTCCACACTCAGCTTCCTGTGACCAGCCTTGTGGATTCTTTAATGTTTATTTCATTGTTTGCAAGCTCGTTCTTATGCATGTAGCTCTGTCATATTTTCAGGCACAGTCACATTGATTTAGGCAAAATGTAGGGCCCTCCAAAAGGGTCCTGTGGACCATAAATCTGCCACTGCGTATGGGTGCATTGTATGCAACACCTTGTCTTCATTTGCGGAGTCGGTGAAGCTGCCGCCTGTATGTCCAGAATCTGAGGAAGAGTTCTGTGTAATGGGGGGGGGGGAGCCTGCATCCGGTCTTTTTAGTGGGTCCAGATAATAGGGCAACTTTTTAGTTGCTCTGTAGGGCCAGCAAAGCAAAGCAAAATGGCCCCCTCCCCAGCTGCTCTTTCGGTTCAGCCCTTGCCTGCTCAGTCAGAAACTGGGGGCGCCCCAGCCACACACGGACATGTGCCCACCCACAGTTCTTGAGCGGTGTTTGCCACTCCTTGATCCTAAGACACCTTTGGGCTCCTGCAGGTTGTGGGGGAGACCCTGGCCTCCATTTGTCCATTTGAACTGCTTCCGACTGATTGGGAGGGGAGTTGTGTTCCTTTTGTGGTTATTCTAGGTGGCCATCTCTGGACCCCACCCCCAATCCAAAGCCAACTGAACCCATCTGGGGATTGGCGGGGGGGGGGTTCTGTGTGTCGGGGGGGGAGAATCAGCCATTTGTTTTTGTTTTAGTTTTAATTTTTTCCCTCCCCACAATCCTCAGCTGTTTCTCAGGCGGGGCCCACCTGCCCACTTCTACGAGAGTGTAATGAGCATTATTACCAAATGTAAATTTATTTGTACATTATTAATATTTTATTTTTATCTGGGGAGGGGAACATGCAGAAGGTCAGAAACTCCATAGGCAAAAACACCCTCAGATCCAAAACCCTCTTTTTTAAATAAATAAAAAATACTAATAATGGTGATAATAAAAAGAATTTGGGGTGGGGTGGGGGAGATCAGTTCCTTTTGACAATGAAATTCCTGACATTTTTTTCCCATTTTTTTAATGGCATTCCATTTGGGGTGGAAATCAGTTTTAATTTGACTTGATTTATTTTGTAATTGATGACTTTTTTTAAACGACAAAGGGGAAAAAATTACCTTTCCTGTTTGTTTGGTTTTTCTGGGGTGGGGTTGGGGGGGATAAACTGTGATTCTGCATATTTACCCTGTAAAATTCCTGTATTCTTCAATGTTATTGTAAAGTGTTACTGATAAAAGATGATTATGAACAAACAAACGAAAAAGTCCAACCCATGTACATTTAGCACAAAGGGGAATACAGTTGATTCTATACTTCGTATACTTTGTTCTAGTCTTTCTTTTGTACGGCTGGGGACTGTGTTGCATGAGAGGGCTCTGGACTTCCCCTCAGATTGAAGTTTATCAGAGTTTCCCATGAGACGAACCATTAAAATAATTGGGTGTATGCCTATTTCCTACCTCTGCGTCAAGCACTGACTTTCCAAAATGGTTCCACCACCAGACTCCTGTTCGTGCTGTGTAACTATCCCTATACAATGGTAAATATTTAACTGGAGAAAAACATTGTTTTGAAGGTGTTGTTTGCATGCAGTGTCCCCATCTTTTCCAGAACTTGGTTGTATTTGACTACTGAAGGGGCAGAATAAATGCCAGGGGGTTTCCACGCAAGCTCTTTACTCCAGAAGAGCCGGACGAGCATCTCTCGAGATGTATGGGTCTAATGAGTCTTTCTAAATGCATAGCATTATCCAGATGTCATTGCTCTCCTGTTGAAAGCCATATGTAGAATTCCAATGGGCTTCCCACACTTGGAATGGGGTGCTTGGTGTGTCCATGTGGCTCCCACAATGCTCCATTATCTACCCCGTCAAAAAAAATGATGGAGCCCAATAAGGCTTTGGATGAGGCAGTTCAGCTGCCTTTGGGACTCCCGCACCTTAGGACTGAAGACTAAATACTTTTAACTTTGCACTAAAGCGCACATCCAATCTAAGCGCTCTTGTACAATTAAAAGGTAAACCCCTAACAGTTAAGTCCAGTCACGAACGACTCTGGGGTTGCAGCGCTCATCTCGCTTTACAGGCCGAGGGAGCCGGCATTTGTCCGCTCCGCAGACAGTTTTTCCAGGTCATGTGGCCAGCATGACTAAACCGCTGCTGGCGCAACGGAACACCAACACCAGAGCAGCGCACGGAAATGCTGTTTACCTTCCCGCCAGAGCGGCACCTATTAATCTACTTGCACTTTTTGGGGGCATGCTTTCGAACTGCTAGGTTGGCAGGAGCTGGGTCTGAGCAACGGACAATCCATCGCGGGGATTCGAACCGCTGACCTTTTGATCAGCAAAGAAATGCATATAATAGTGAAAATCCCATACAAAAATGCATTATATCAAGGAAAATATATTAGGGAACATATGCTTTGCAAAAAAATAATAATAATGTGTATTATTTGGCAGAATTGCAGGCAAAAAAATGTATATTGGGATAAATTCACACTAAAATTCTGGTGAATGTTCACAATTACTTCTTTTTTATCGCAAACTGACGTGGAAATATGGATAACTGAATTTCAGATTAGAAAATTAATAAATTAACATTGGCCAAGACTGACAGATCTGCCCATCCTGAGAAGGAAGTCCTATAGCATGGGTAGGCAAACTAAGGCCCAGGGGCCAGATCTGGCCCAATTGCCTTCTAAATCCAGCCCGCGGACAGTCTGGGAATCAGCATATTTTTACATGGGTAGAATGTGTGCTTTTATTTAAAATGCATCTCTGGGTTTTTGTGGGGCATAGGAATTTGTTCTTTTTTCCCCAAAAAATATAGTCCGGCCCCCCACAAGGTGTGAGGGACAGTGGACCAGCCCCCTGCTGAAAAAGTTTGCTGACCCCTGGGGTAAATGGCTATGGGGTTGCATTTGGGGATGGCACTTCCATGTGGCAAATTGCCCCAGGTGGCAGCAATTAGCATACATGCCCCAGGCCCTCAATTGTGACAGAGGAGGGAGGAAACCCCCTGAGGGAGGAGGGGGCACCAGAGGGCACTGCCCCCAGGGCACTTGGCCACCTCAAATCTGGCATTGGCCCTGAATTGTACAAAGAGGTGCCTTGGATTTTTCTAGCCCAGTTCGCCATACACACACACAGAGGGCACTGGTGTCTTTGCGGGGTTATTGCGAGGATAAAATAGGTATGGGGAGAACCCTGCATGCATCTCTGCGAGAGGAAGGGTGGGGTCAAAATGGAAGAAGAGAGAAAGAGAGAGATGCTTGGAGCCAGAGGCCTCTGCTGCGGCTGTGCTCCTTCCTGCTGTCCTTCTGATTAAATCAAACTGGAGCAGCTCCTCCTGAGCCTTTCAGCCTGAATTATTTTGAACCGCAAATATCTGATGTCAGCCTCAGTCCTTTCCAGGTTTCTGATCAGAACGGCTTCCATCCAGATGGCAACTGGGGGGGGGGGGACACACCAGATGAGCACCTCCTGCATCCAAGGAGCCCCCCCCACCTCTTCTTCCCTGGGCAAAGTTGAGATCCCAGAGGATGCTGGAAGCTAGAGTAGACCCCAGCCCAGCCTGCTCACCATCATTCAGACGTGCAGCATCCACAGTGAGAAACTGATGGATGGCCCCCATTTTAAAGGGCAGCTGCAGAATAAGAAGGAGAGGGATGTTTGAGTGACAGGGTCCCTCCTGGCCAAAGGTGGCCTGGAGATCAAATGAACTATTAGCAACCGTGTAGGTGGGTTTTTGGTTGTTGTTTTTTACACAAAGGAAAAGTGTAGCAATTTGGATCAGGACCCGGTTGGCAGAGAAGCTCTCACTGGGTGACCTTGAGCCAGTCACTCACTCTCAGCCTCACCTACCTCTCAGGGTTGCTGTGAGGATAATACGGAGAGGAGGAGAACTATGAATACTGCCATGAGCTCTTTGGAGGAAGAAGGGTGGGGTACAATTGTAATAAATAGTAATAATAAACAGCTCTGAGGGTAAAGTCAGGAATTGTTGTTGTTTAGTCGTTTAGTTGTGTCTGACTCTTCGTGACCCCATGGACCAGAGCACGCCAGGCACTTCTGTCTTCCACCTCCTCCCACAGTTTGGTCAAACTCATGCTGGTAGCTTCGAGAACAATGTCCAACCATCTCGTCCTCTTCTCCTTGTGCCCTCCATCTTTCCCAACATCAGGGTCTTTTCCAGGGAGTCTTCTCTTCTCATGAGGTGGCCAAAGTATTGGAGCCTCAGCTTCACAATCTGTCCTTCCAGTGAGCACTCAGGGCTGATTTCCTTAAGAATGGAGAGTTTTGATCTTCTTGCAGTCCATGGGACTCTCAAGAGTCTCCTCCGGCACCATAATTCAAAAGCATCAATTCTTTGGCGATCAGCCTTCTTTATGGTCCAGCTCTCACTTCCATACATCACTAAAGGTCAGGAATATTATCCCCCAATTGCAGATGGGGTGACTGAGGCCGAGAGGCTAGTGCCGTGCCTAAAGGCCATCTTGTGAGTTCATGGTAGAGGCAAGATTCAAACCAGGGGCCTTGTGATTTGCTGATGGAAGTGTATTCTTCAGCTGTCACCATGTCATGGTCCCCATTACACACAGGCCTGTGAGTTAGGCTAGAAAGGTGAGCAGCAGGAAGGCCCCTTTTTATCAGGAAATGGAGAATGGGAGGGAAGCTCCCCCTCTGTTGCCCACCCTCCCCGCCAGCCAGCTCCCTTCCAGCGTCAGAGCTGGGCTGGCGGGGGGTGGGGGGCTTATTCAGGAAGGCTCCCTCCTTCCTCCCCCGCCCAGAAAAAAGGAGGACAAAGGGAGCACAGAGCTGCAATTGAAAAATGTATATCTGCTCATTTATATGCATAGATGCAAATGTATAAATAACTGCGGGGCTATAAATAGCAATCCAAGACATCTCACTCTAAAGGTGGGCTCTGTGCATCTGCTCAGTCAGCTGGCTGTCAGGTGCTGCTCATTCTCGCTGCCTTACCTGCGTTTCGTCTTCAAAGAGAGGGTGCCTTAAAATAGGACGGGCCTCTGTAAAGGAAGAAAGGGGGGCAGTTTGGGGGTTGTTGTGTTGAACAAGAGCGAGTCAAAGAGACACTTCCCCCTCCCTCCAGCTGCCAATCACCCCATCCTCACTTGCCAAAACATCTGGGTCAGGCATCCCCAACCTTTGGCCCTCCAGATGTTTTGGACTACAATTCCCATCATCCCTGACCACTGGTCCTGTTAGCTAGGGATCATGGGAGTTATAGGCCAAAACATCTGGAGGGCCGCAGATAGGGGATGCCTGATCTAGGTTTACCCTACAGGTTGCCCCCCTCCGTGGACTTCTCTGCAAGGTTCCCTCAGCAAGGCATGGGGATGTAAGGAAAGGATCAATGGTTGGACTGCCATTCTCAGGCCCACCTGTGGCCACTGATGCTGAAGGCCATCTTTAGATGGCAGCAGATCTCATAATCCCTGCCGCTTTCTGAGGGGGGGGGTGATTCAAAGGACGATCAGAAGAGCCTGCTGGATGAAGGCAATGGCCCCTCTAGTCCGGCATCCTGCTGAAGCAATATTCAAGCAGGATAGCAGGATTTGAGCACAAGCGCAGCCCTCTCCCCTCCAGTGGTTTCCAGCATTGCTGCCTCTAACTGTGACGGCAGAGCATAAGCCATTGCTGAAGACAAAGCGGGAGAATGATGGGCAAGGAGGGAGCTGCACTAGCTGGGGAGGGGAACCTCCCAAAGACCCCTGCACCCATTAAAACACATAGCACAGGGGACAGTCAAATGAGCCCGCTGATTTTCATGGGAGATGGTTGATTCCAAACTTTGGCCTTGAGGCCGATTGGACCGCAGTAAGGGAGGAGGTGGGCCTGATCCAGCCTAAAGGCACATCCCCAAGCAACCTTGCACTTTGGCACTGTGCTTAATTTCCTTTCATTTTGCTTCATGTTTAACTTCATTTCCTCTGCCTTCTTCCACAAAAGACGTTCAGGGTGGAACCACCAGGCCTCATTCACTCATATTTTACCAGGGGGTGGGTGCCCATGCAGCTTTGTCATCCACCTGTAACCTTCCAGTGTTTCCCCAGGGTGTCTAGAACATCTTTTATTCTTACTGCAGAAAGTCTGCCTGCTTTTTTCTTTCAGAAAATATGGGTTTTCCACAGGGGCTGAAGGCCTTCACATGACTGTTCTGTGTCCTTTCAAAGGGGGGGGGGCTTTGAGATGAGCAGTGAACTAGCGAGTCAGGGTGGGAAGACCCAGCAATTTTGCTTCCCTCAGTGTTTCAGTTTTCCAGTCTTAAATTCACTTCTCCACATTTCTGTAGCC